CCCCCCCCCCCGGCCCCCACGCTGGGGTAGAAAAAAGGGGGGTTTTCTTTTTTTTTTTAATTCCCCCCCCCCCGGTAAAATTTTGGTTTAAGGATTGGGCAGGGGTTTACATGGGCCCCCCCCCCCCCCCCCTCGCCACCACGCCTCGATACGGCGGCACACCCCACACAGATACGCCAGACTTGTGCTGCGTTGGAGAGGGTCACCGATCGCCTTGCGGCTTTGAGACGACGCGCGCAGGTGCTGGAAGCGGAGCTTGAAGCGGACGGCTGCGTGGCCGGAGATGGAGTCTCGGAGCTCTGCCTTTGAGGCCTCTCCTTGTTACTGCTGTAGTCTGCCCTTAGAGGCCTTCGTTGTTACTGCTGCTATAGTCTGCCTTTAGAGGCCTATGTAGTTTGTGCTGCTGCAGACTTGTACCCCAAAACATTATTTAACGCTTGAAGCCCATGCCTTTTTGAGGACACCAATATTGGGGGCACTTCAAAGGACACCATTTTTTTCACAAACACGGTGCCCGGCAGAATGTACAAACCAAAGGGGGATGTAAGCACATTTTCAAGAACCACACCGTGAGTGTCCTTAAAGCGGGCATGACTGCTGTACTGTAGTACAGAAAATAGTGTTTAAACGGCTACGCGTTCGTTCAGATCGGCGGTGGCGTTTCGGCGGGCCAAAAGTCGGATCGCGCGATTTGATTGTTCATAGCTGCCTTGCACTGGTTGGCCGGCGGCGAAACTGACGGGCGGCCGGGTAGATTTCGATCCGCCTCCATAATCAAGACGCCGCAACGTTGCCTAGCCGACCACGCCGCCTTTGGTTGGGGAGGGTCGTGATAACATGGGGGGGGGTTCGTCCTGGATCGAAAAGACAATGGCCCCGGTAGATTGGTCGAGGGGTTTGAACGGTTGGAAACCGTTCGTGAGTTCTTGACAGAGCTGGGATATGACGCGTTTCCGGTGGCCACAGAACACCGTCGCAGTTGCTTTGAACTTGCGGCGTTTTAGGTTCAAACGGTCGACGGGTTCGGGGAACGTGAATGCTCGGCAGGAGGCAGGAATATACGCACGCGCTTGTTTTGTTTTTTCCCGGGTGGTTGTGGTAGCGTAATAGTGGCGGTGGTAGTGGTAGTTGTAGAGGTGGTGGTGACGATTGGTCTTGCCCAAGATGGACGGGGTGGCATCTACTTCGTAGCATTGTATATAAGACAGGTGGTCAGCCGGGGGAGCAACATACGGCGCTCGACGGAGTTGCCGAGCGAGATGGTCAGCTGAGAATGCGTTGCTGGCTACCGACTAGTCTCCCGCAACCCTCGAGGCTGTAATTTTCGAAAAAATGGGTGTTTGATTGGGTAACCGACCGAGCCAACAGCGGGGGTATGTACGATTGAAAACGTTGCGAGGGCGAGCGACCGTGTCATGGATGGGGCAGCCTATCTGGGCACAAAATTTGCTTTCCAAAGGTGATACAGTAAGAGATGAGGCGGCCCAGCAGCAACCTTTTGTGGGCACCGCAAAGCGTAATTCAGCGGATCGCGCTTGCAACAAGCGTCGGGACGAATTTTTTCCTACCTTCCGGAGGTTTAACCCTCCTTCCCATATACGCAGTCCCGCCGCAAAAACAAATTTCGAAAATTCTTGTCAGTCATTGGCCAAGGCTGCAGTACAGTCCCTCGAAAGAATCGGAGAGTGCCGAGCTTCTTACCAGACAAAGGGTGACTTGGCGTAAGTATGAAAAGTGACCCAAAACGTATGAAAAGTGTCCCCAACACGCGTGGGGACGCCTTTCATACTGAAGCCAAGTCAGCATTTTTTTCCAGTACCAGGCTATGTACAGCTTTACCATCCAGGGGACACGCGGCTTGGGAGATTGTATATTGCAAGTCAGAGGCGGAGGCGCATCACACAGCATATCACACATCGTACCTCACCCCAAGCATGATAGACAACGGGTTCTCACGCGCGTTTCACACAGCGGAGCGTCGAGCGACTACGGTGCGGTAGATAGACATGCTGTGTGCTGTGTCCCCGAAGTGTCTCCATATGGGCGTCCGGTGCTAAGAGGGTCAACACGAAACACTGCCGCAACGACCACTCACTCACATCGCGAAACTACTCCCACGTTTGTCCAAAAACACGGTCGCTCGCTTCCAAAGAAACAAAAAAGGGGACACCGACTGATGTTTGCAAAAACATTCTCCCCTTAAAAAAAAAAACGGAAAAACAACTGAAGAAGGAAAGGCACATCAGGCTTGTCGCCCTCATCAATCTACCTTTCCTCTCCTCTCCACAAAACACGAACAAACACGCTATTAACGTCCGGCACATTCGATGGCTATCTACAACCACAGCATTTGTCTGGGGGGCCGGTGACTGCTCCAAAACGCAAGCTGTACCGCACCATCCGCCCGGGGCGCTCACAACAGTCGCCCAAAAAGAACTAACTCTGCGCAGATTCAACCACAGCCATCCCCCAAGATGCCGCAAAGGCAAGCACTTCGCCTAGACACGCAGCAGGCATCCCCCTTTTCCACACAACAAACGAACCGTAGTCGTGTTGGTACGGGGTATCCCATGGCACACACACACCGTCGATGATTTGCTATCTACCACTGCTGTATAATCAGCTCTACGCACGGAAGAAGGCCGAGAGTACACATAAAAACCGCAGTATAAACCTTCAGAAAAACATGCGACGCACGGCGACCTATCATCTCTCCCCCCGCAACAGCTAGCACCACGACTCACGGACTCCTCAGGCCACGGAGGATTGTTCTCACAGCCGGACCGATCACCGACGGCCAACCCCTACCTTGCCAAAGGTGGCTCAAATATCTCCCTATCTTATCTCTATCTTTCCGTCTCAGCGGGGAGAGATATGTAGAGGGGGGACTGAAAGCCCTACTTCCAACCGCGCTCTTAATGTACATCAAGGAGACGTTTGCGCCTCCCCCCCCTCCGCCGCCGACCCTACACCACCGGACCTACAAACGCACGGACGGACGTCTGGCAGCCGGACCACGCGCGAGCAAAACACGTAAAAGTCTAACGCACGTCGCGGCAGCCGCGGTCACCTTCTGCCGATAAAAAGACATGCACATCATAACAAAAAAACGGGGGTTGCACAGAAACCGCTTGTACACGCCCTTCACGACAAGTCGATGCATTCGGGCTCGTCGGACGACGGCGCACCTGCTGCTGCTGCTGCTGTTGCTCCCGGGCGATGGCTGCTACCCCCTTCCCCCTGGCCCGTCGCTGACGCTCGGCTAGCGCGGCTGCCGTCGCCGGTAGCGCCTTGAGCACCGGCCGCCGTCTCTCCTCCCGACGCAGTCGCAGCAACAGCGGCCTCGCTGTCTGCGAGCGGGATCCCGCAGGCCTCGCAATCCGAAGCCTCCGGGGGGTTCCGCAGAGTGCACAGCCGGCACATCCGCGCCTCGCCTGCCGGCTGCGCTGACCCCCAACTTTCCATCCCGGGGTCGTCCCGTATTCTTCCGCCAATGCCGACCGTTTCTCGGACGTCGGCGGTGCCAACACCTACGGAACAGTCGGTCCCGCCGCTGCTGCCTTGCGCGGCCATCCACCCGCCAGCGGTGACTCCTCCTCCTCTTCCAACTTCCGCCGTCCATTCTGAGCTCAAGGTCGCGAGGTTATCGTCGTCGCCGCCGCCGCCGCCTGCTGCCGCTGCCTCTTCCGCGGGTCGCTCCGCCCCGCACACCGAGCACCCCAAAAACATCCCCGGGTTCACCACCGTGCACGCGTCGCACGTCCACGACGGCAGCAGCTCCGCGTCCCAGCTGGTATGCCCGCCCGTTGTCCCCCTTATCGCCGTTGCGGCACCGCCCCCGCCGCCGCCGCCGCCGCCGCTCCCTGCATCGGCGGGCAGAAGACGCGCTGCTCCGCACGACTCGCACGTCCGCCTCTCCGAAGCGTTCGGAAACGAAAACGGGCAACTCCGGCACGTCCACGTGCGCCCCGCCGAAGGAAGACCGCCGCCGCCGGTGGTACCGGCGCCACCGCCACCTCCGCGGGGAGCACCCACGGAGCGGCCATCACTCGCCGTCCGCGCCCCCGCTGTCGACTTCTTTTGCAGCCGGCCCGGCCCGGCCGCCGCCGCCGCCGCCGCCGCCGCCGCCGCCGCCGGCCCCGTTGTCGGCGCGGGTCGCTTTTCGCGGCCCGTAGTGGTGCCGCCGGCGACACTGCTATCGCCGCCCCGCCCACCGGTGCTGCTACCGGCACCGCGGTCGCGGACGGAGTTCCCAGGGGGGTTGGCGGAACGCTCCTTCCCGCAGGCGTCGCACGCGTTAACGGTGAGCGAGTTGAAGAGCGTGCAGAGCCCGCACTCCCAGTGGTCGCCATCGTCGGCATTGTCGCCGGTTTTCTCGCCGGCGGTACAACCGTGGTGTCCTCCGCAACCTTGGCTGACGGCATGTCTCCTGGGGAGTGTGGGTGCGTGTGTTCGGGGAGTCAGGTGATGCAGCGCAGCAAGCGGCGTGGTTGATACATACTGTAGGTTCCAGAAGATATCACACACCCTGGGCCGATTTTCGAAGCTCGATATCTCGGCAGGAAAAGCTGTGACGGTGCCGAATATGGTGTTAGGCGTTGGAACCGTCTCGACAAGAACTTTCCGAAAACGTATGGTACTTCAATTTCGGCATCCTCTTCGTCGTGGAGTAATCGAGCTTTGAAAATCGGTCCAGGGGGTGTGCAACCTACGGTATTGTTGTCGAGGCAGACAAGTGATGCATAAACCGGCGTTGTCGACGTGTCATATTATTGCCGGTCTTCTTGGAGATGCTACAATGTTGTTTTCGCCATTTTGGCAGACTGATCGGTGCTTCCCAGCCGTTGTCAGCAAGTCCCCGTTTACGCAGTCGGCAGAGATAATTTTCGTCATTGATGCTGCTGTTGGAGTTTTGCGGTATTTTTCGTCGTTCTCGGCGTGAATTCCTACACCGCCCTCTTGCCTATTCACGTCGTTTCCAATTCCAGTACCTCCTTCTTGCCGCCGAAACAATGACAACAACCAAACATACGGTACTAGGACTACAACAAGGACCCTGACCATCAACCTTCGTCTACAAATCTGGCATGCGCCATTGAGAAGAGCGTTTCTGGCCTTGACACTAACAACTATGTTACCCGGCTGTCGCAATCGACTCGACACTGACTAGCACACGATGTTCTACTCCTTCGCTCACCATTGTGCGGCGGCCGCAGCACGCTGCGCGGCGGAAACTGCATCCGACGGCGAGGAGCCCGAAACACCGCCCAACCGCTGCCCCCCGCCGCCCATGATACCCTGTTGCTGCTGTCTCTTCTCCGCCGCCTGTCGTGCCGCACACGGCGGCAGCGGTTGGCCGCACACCGGGGGCAAAACCAAGCAAAGCGAGGAGGGTGGGGATATCAACAAAAGACCGAGGAACAAAACGCGTTAAAAAAAAAAAAAAAACACCAGAACAAGGTCGGGGGTCGCCACGCGCTATGTATCGATGCATACTCAATCAAACTCACACTCTTGGCCATATTTCTTCAATCGTGTCATGTACCGAAATAAAATATACTCGGAGAACTGGTTCATCATGGTATTGTAGCTCTCAATGTTGCACGTTTGCCTGCAAGCCCGACCGGAACTCGTACGCACGCACGCGCGTGATCGCCTGGAAAAGGCGTCATCGTCGTTCGTTCGAATTTCCGAAAAAGAGAAAAAGACCCTTGACAAACAAACCACTTAACGGTACAGCAGTAGTCACATGTTCAAATATATTTTGTCTAACAACGTTGTTCCTGGAGTTTCATGTCCTTCTCCCACCTACCCCCCACCTTCACCCATCGGCACGCACGATGTGTCACCCTTGGTATGCATGTTTTGTTCATCACAGGAGGAGGGCTAGGATACCTTCATGATAGGAGTGGACGCACGCGGTGCAATCAGGTTTTGCTGTGATCGTTTCTCTCTTGATATTTTTGGCGTACCCCGGTGCCGTAACGTCGACGAATGCGAAAACCCAGTGGGTGGGTACCTTTAGCGCAGCGGCCCTAGCATCTTCTGGGGCTCGCCCCCCTCCTAAGGACTGCCCGTCTCCAGCGAATGGCATGTTGCGCCCGGTTATGCCTGCAACGCGTCGGGAGCAAGGACACACGAGTCAAGACGAGACGAAGGGCCAAAAACAAAAGAATATCACGAAGGGACCGAGTACGTGAGACCCACTTGGCTCCGACAAGCTCGTACGCCAGAACCACATTAACAATAGAAGAAACAACAAACAGGCACGAAGCATTGAGCGAGCAAATGAGAGACAGTGCACAAATGGATTAGGTTGAGCTCAGCGGGAACGTAAGCAAGGATAAGTAAAGAGATGAATCTTGGCATTCGCAGTTGGTAGCATTGCGCACTACTCGAACATTGCCCCCTCCCTCCAGGGGCCTTGGTTTTATCCGCTGGCACTGACGGCTTTTCATTGGTCAGTCACTAAGCGCGGTCGATGCTAATTAAGCGAACGCACCTTCCCGAATGAGCTTGTCGCACTCGTCGTTGAGCTGGTCCAACATCCGGTAGAACTTCGCGCTGTGCGGGCCGATCTGGTTGTGCACCAGCTCGTGCAGCATCGTGCCGAGAATGAACTCGTAGGGGTAGAAACTGCCTGTCAAAGCACCAAGTGTGGCAAAATTGGGCGCCGTGTGCGAAACATAGCTTATGCAATCTTGATTCGGCCGGGAGAAGGAATTTTTATCTCTCTCCCCCTTGTTGTGTTGCTCAGATCTCGATGAACCTGCTGTCCAATGCGTGTGTCAACTGCTAAATAAAAAAGTACTCGCGTTGGAAGTTGCTGCGCACTCAGAACGTTATACGCTTACAGAGAACGCTCGTTGAGTACTACAGCAGTAGTAGTAGCATGGTTATACTGGGAAAAAAAGTATCTCATCAAAACGTAGACTGTGGGCGTTCTGATCAAGTTGATACAACAGAGTCGCTTTTACATTTAATACTGTTGTCGTTGTTGTTGTTGCTGCTGTAAACGGTTGATGCCTGTGCTGGGATCGTCGCCTTCGTTCTTGTTGTGATGTCTTCTAGAGGTCCGCCTCCACAAAGAGTCTTCCCAAAATTCTGTCGATACTCCACCGCGATAGACCGCAGAACAAATTCACGCTACGCACAACTAGGGCTCGCGGGACAGAACAAGGACCCCATTTTGTTTAGCAGGAGCGCAAACAGCAACACGTTCACAGGCTTTTAAGCAAAGGTCAGAACGAGAGGGCTACCCTCCTCTTCTCTCGTCACCCCCCGTTCGGCCAATCGAAACTACGGCAGAGGACCACCTCTACCCTTCAGCAGGGCTTAGGGACTAAATCTGACCTCTGAAACCAGCCGTGGTCGTCACGTGGGGGGGGGGGGGGGTACCGGGCGAAGGCGGGAGGCCTTACCTTCATCGGATGGCGGGCGTAGGCGAATGCATATTTTCTGGCCGCGGTTGACGTTCAAGCCGAGGAGACCCGGGTTGTTGGGAATAAACTCCAGCAGAAGCACCACCTTCCACTTGTGGGCCACGCAAATCGGCTTTACCTGTTGTCGCAACAAATAATAGTCCGCAAACCAAGCGCAAACGGATGCATGATGCAGATGGTTGTTACATGTACAAGTGATCCCTCCGGAGTGGGCTCATGAGAGCACAGCGTCGACAGGGGGTGATGCAAGAAGATGAAAACGTAGGCAGGCCGCAGGACCAACCCACGGATGACTGTCAGGTGCAGTGTGACGGTTCCCAGCTCCAGCTGACACAGATGACGTGCTTTGACTCGAAGAGCCTAGCGAACCTCAGCGAACACCAAAGAAATATGAGTTACTGCTGTACAACAGCAGTCGCATACGTAGATACTCTAGAAGATACCACCGGATGTGCACCTGACCCTTTGTCGTTGGCCAACCCGGTCAGCGCGGTCGATGCTATGTAACTACTCGTATTACAGGAGAACAAACACAGCATGCCTGGTGACCCAGCGAAAGGTAGCTTCCCATTTCCGCGTGAGAAAATCAAACCGTTTGAAATTTCGAAAAATCCTCTCTTTCTCTCCACTGAACCAAACCAAAATCCACGAACCGACCAAAATCCACCCGGGCCACCCCCATTCTCGGCAAAACGTACGTGCTCGACAGAGCACGTCTCAAGTCCTTTTTCACCACATTTGAAGTTCAAACTGGCGCCGACTCATCGCGAATTCGCACGAGAGAGCGGGGAAGCTGCAGAGACACTGCGCAGCAAGCAGCGCGATTTTCGCAAACGCCAAAAGGCATCTATCTCTCCTGCTGGCGAACAACTGGGCAAGTTTCTATTCAGCAGCAGTTGCAAGTTCAGTGTGGTGGGGCTCGCCTGGTCGGCTAGCTTCTGGAGCAGCTCTCGGGCCTCAGCCTGTCGAGGGCGCCCTTTCACCTCCTTGATCTCCCAGACGCCCAGCATGTCATCTATGCCAGGCATCTCTCTGTCTGTCTCTCTCTCGTGCCGTCTTGCTCGACAAGCAACCGCACACGACCTTGGCGGGCGAGGAGTGCAGCACGGTCGTAGACTTGGCACACCGGTGGTTGATGGGTGAGTGGAGAGATTTGACGACGAGAGAAGAGAGAACATGCAGTACAGAACTCGGCAAAGGAGGTGAGTGTCTGAGGGGGGGGACATTTGACACAAAAATATACTTGAATGTAATAACGTCCCCCCTGCCAAAAAGTTTCCAGAACTCATTGAAAGCCCTCAATCCCGCCGCATTTCACAACAGCCGGCAGCTCGCAGCCGGTCTCTCTAAATCAAGGCTCACAAAGAGGCGGAGGCTGTGCTGCGGGTGCCGCTCCTGGTGGAGTATAAATCTCTCTCATTTTACAGCAGTAGCCGCCGCTCCTTCGTTCCTCCGCACACGTCAAATCTTGCCGACAAGGTCGATTCCCCGCTGGCCTGTACAACCATGTCGCCAATCCAGCACCAACCTGGCAGCAGCACCAGATCCGGTGCGACCACGACGGTGATTTCTGTCGCTGTGGCATCCAGGGCGGCCACCGTGGCCCTGATGGTCCTCGGGAACGCTGTCCTCCCCACCCACGACGCTGGTGGCGTGCACAAGTTCCGACCAAGAACATTCCCCGTGTCGTCCGGCGCCGGCGCCGGCACCGGCGGAGTGTTTTCGGCATTCACTCGGTGGGACTCGGCGTGGTTCCTGAGCATTGCCGACAGCGGCTACCCTTACCCTACGGTGGGCGGTGATGATGGTGATGGGGTTGATTGCAGGGGAACGACCAGAGCTTGGGGCGGAGAGGAGTACGAGTGGGGAGAGTATGGGCGGCTTGGAGAAGATCGCACGGAAGGCGGGGATAGGGACGAGTCAGCGCCGTCAGCACAAAAGCAACCCCGTTGCCGACCCGACATCCCGCTGGAAGAACAAGCCCATGCGTTCTTCCCGCTCTACCCGTGGGTCGTGCGGTGGGTCGCGGCGGCGCTCCGTGCCCTCCTGCTCACAACCGGTCTCGTCTTGAGCAAGGCTAGCAGCCTCGTCCTGGCCGCTGTACTCGTCAGCAACTCGTGCTTTGTGGTGTCCGCGGTGCTGCTGTACAGACTGGGAGCGGCCGCAACGGGCGACTCTCTCCTGGCCCGCCGAGGCGCGCTCGCCTTCTGCATCACCCCCGCCAGCGTCTTCTTCAGCACGGCATACACGGAGAGCCTCTACGCCATGCTGTCGTTCGCTGGCCTGTTGGTTCTCTTCTCGGAAGGGCATCGAAGAACGGCGAGAAGAACCACGTCAAGCGGCGGCGAGGATAGACAGGGAACGGAGGGGTTCCACCGAAACGCCAGTGGGGGTAGCAGCAACGCCTGGTGGGGGTGCGGAGCCGTGAACACGTGGGTCGCCGCGGTGTTGCTGTCCTTGGCCACTCTTGCCCGGTCGAACGGAATCGCCGGCGCCGGAGTGCTGGTTCTGGAAAAGCTGCGCTGGATGGCGAGGGACGTCGGGCTCTTCGCCGACAACGGCGGCAACCAAGACGAGAATAGCGCCCGTGTCGACGCCGCGTTTCCCGTGGCAGCGCGGTCGTCGTCCACTGCAGCAAACACCCAGAGCCGGGAGATGAAGACCCGGGCCGGGAGTAGCGGCGACGGTGGCGGCGGCGACCGTGCCGTCGCCACCGCCGCCGGCCACAACCGGAACTTTCGCAGGCGAGACGGTGGCGCCGTGGCCTGGCTGAGGCTGGTCGCCTGCCTGGTCGTTACCGCGCTGCAGGCTCTCCTCGTCATAGCGCCGTATGTTCTCGTCCAGGCGTACGCGTACCGCAAGTTCTGCCTCGCAGGGACAAGACTGGCGGAGGAAGGCGGCAACGGCGACGCTTTCATCAGTGGGGGTGCCGACGGCGGTAGCCCATCGGCAGCAGAGCTTCCACGCCTGACCATGGAGCAGCTTCACCCCTGGTGTGCCCGGAGAGTGCCGAGCGTCTACGCGCACGTCCAGTCGACGTACTGGAACGTGGGAGCCTTCCGGTACTACCAATTGAAACAGATCCCCAATTTTTTGCTAGCGGCCCCGGCGCTGATCCTGACGGCCTACGGAATCGCATGTTTCTTCTCCGCCCAGCTGCGGTCGCTTCGCGCGACTGCGGCAGAGGAAGGGTGTGATTCTTCCCGTGGCAGCGGCGGCAACGGGGGTGGGGGAAGCAACACGCCGGGACCGCATCGATGGGCTAGGGGCATGTGCTTTGTTCGGAGATGGGTACTGAAGCTGACGGATGTCTTTTTCGGCGACCCGAAGCTGCCGCACCCTGCGGCGTCGCCGTTCGAGCGCACCGGGGCGGCGGCGCTGATGGCGCAGTGGGCCTTTTTCGCCTTCTTCGCCGCCGTGTGCATGAACGTCCAGGTCGTCACTCGCTTCCTAGCCGCCGCTTGCCCTCCGCTCCATTGGTGGACTGCTAGCCTTCTGGTCAGGGACGGGAAAGGGCGCGGTGGAGCCGGAGAGGAGGCGGCGGGTGGGGCACCGGCGGCGCTTGGAACGTGCTTACGGTGGTACCTCGGAGCGTACTTCGTCGTCGGCGCTGTGCTGCACGCCAACTTTTTGCCGTGGACATGAGGCGGGCTTTTGGTGGGGAGAGCTACGACCCAGTCTGGGCGAGAGCCTCGCCACGCCCCCTTGTTGTACAACGAAACCCAGATAGTTGTGTAGTATCCATGGTCAGTCAAAGCCCAGATAGTTGTTTATCGGTTTCATTGTGAAAGTGTCTTTAACGCGGGGAAAATAAATGTTTTTGAGTCACGTAGCGTCTGTTCTCTTTTAAGAATGTTATGAAATCGTTCGCGTCTTTGTGGGTCGGGTTCCTGTTACCCGTAGAACCATTCTTGCTTAGCAACCAAGAAGCGTGGAGACCCCTTCATAAGGGTACACTCTCCCCAACGTCTGTCGAGGACGATTCTTTTTTTTTGCATATCAAGACGATTTTTTGTATTTACGCCCGAAGGTGTCGGTGTCTCGGAGACGGGTGAGGGTTTCCACCCAGCGGTAATAGTGGGATGTGAAATGGTTAGGTAACCATGACCAACCAGCACGCTTTTCGGCATCAAATGGATGTTTTTGAGTCACGTACCGTCTGATTTAGTTGTAAGCATAATGATATTTTTTTGTGTCTTTGTGCCCGAAGGTGTCGTCCTTTCAGAGACGGGTGAGGGCTTGCCACAGAGCGGAAAGCATGTCTCCAGCCTCGTGTTGGGTGGTACATCTTTGCAGAACCGACCCTCATCGAGAAGGATGCGGGACGGAGTTTACCCGGTGGACCCTTTACTACTTTCGAAATCGGATTCGAAGCAGTCTGGTTTCGGTTGTCGCGTCTAGTGTTTTTTACAAATACGTTTGACAGATCCTAGTCATGAATCATGAACATCTCTTGTGCAGTGCCGAACGAACTCTCTTTGGTGATGATGGTTGTGTTCGAATCAACATGCTAGACCCAGGCAAAACTCGATGCTGTGTTTTGTTAAAGACATGTGCGATGCCATGGATTCCTTTTTGACTGTCCTTTTCCATGAGCAAACGACGGCGACCAATTCCGCCAAGTCGTGGGCCATGTTGACTGGTCAGAAAAAAACGTCCTGCTTGACCTCTGTAGTGCAGTGTCACCAACGACCCGACTAGATCCGTACGATCAACACGTGTGGTCCCCTGTTATTTTTCGGCGTTCCTGCGAAAATGATGTGTAACGAGGAACTGAGTCAGGAGCATATCCCACACCGATTGACCTCCCCCTGGGTACACACAATGCTGCACCCTACCGGCACTCGAAAGCGTGCCGCGCATCTCCGCCGATCTAGCCTGCAACTACGGCTCCCCCCGCTGTCATCGCCGGGTGCCCTAGGGGTATAAGCATGACAGACTGCAAGACGAGTGGCGGCGCGGACGTTGAGGCTGTTGGCGGTGCCACTGCTGCTGCTGCTGCTGGTGTTGGCGGCTGCTGCTGCCGTGGTGAACCCGGCGCTGTCGCGGCTGCTGGTGTTGCGGATGGCGGTGCTACCGTTGAGGCTCCTGGGAAACACTGACGCGAAAGCGCCTCGAAGGATATCGGCAGGCTGGAAAGATGCGGATGTGTAAGTTGGTCCCCAGAAAGGGTAGACGTGATTGTATATATATGCATGATCAACATGACGCATACGCAAGTGTTGGTTGGCTTGGGGTGATGCGACTCGGTAACGAGGGGCGGTGGGGTTGTCATCTCTTCCGTGCAATGTGCACTTTGTCCTCATAATAATAACCGTTCAAGACCCAGCGTGCAATAACGATGATTACGGCACTTGTTATTCGTTTCCACCTCTCACTCCAGCTGACGGCATCTAACATCTCCTGTTGTTATTTTTCCTAGAATTGGTGATGGACCAGGCTTTCTCACATCAGATCACCAAGCGTGAAACGCCATGAGGTATTCGGCGCGTCTCGCATGAAGGGTGCGCTGCATCCTGCTAACAATCTGGTGCTTACTTTCCTTGCATACGAATGACAGCTGCGAATGACTTAATATAATTTCTGGTTCTATCACTTCCAGAGACAGGTAACTGCCTCGAAGGTGCAACGTGGTGCGATCATCCCCATTGCGCGGAGTGAGGGTTCTCGACCCCGTACAACATATTTAACTCGATTACCATCATGATAACCGAAAAAAACAAATATAGGCAAAAAAAAGCGGATATATACATATACAAGATACCCCTTCGGAGGTGGCTTCACTGTCTGTCTTGAACACAGGGGGCGATGCAAGGGGAAGGCAAACAGTACTCAGGATAAAATATTCAAGCGGTGTACACTGGAGACGGAGTAGAGTAGTGCAAAGAGTTAGGGTGGAAAAGTACGTGCGAAGTGTTTTGTTGAGGAGGATGAGGCGGTGGTGGGAAAGGGGTGCCGGCGATGACAACCTCTGTGGTGAGTCCGTACAATTGTGAGACAGCAGCAACTTCAATGTAACCACCGTATGCGGAGGGTTGAGCTATGATGGACAGGTAGTCCTGAAGAGAATAGTACAATGATGGCGGAGATCCTTGGATCCGAATTGGGTCGTTTCCGAATCCGTTTGATATGTCTGTATGAAAGGTTCCTGGGTTGTGCTGTACGTGTTGGACAATGCCATGACGAACTTGTGCGTGATTCGCTGGGTCACCAAAGGCTTTTCTAGAAATTGCTCTAAGAAGACAGGCCCCATCACCAATTCCATCCAAAATATTCCATGTTGATGACGGCGGGGTAGGACGAGGAGGAACAGGAGCTGTGGTGTTCTGTATAGACGTTCAATATCGTCGGGGATAGGAACCAAAGGCCACACAACGTACTTGCCTCCTGAACAACAGCAGTTGATTCTTTCTTCTGCCCATGTCCAAACGCTGCAGTGCCTGCAACGCTGGTTTCTTTCCTGGCGAAAACTACTGGCTCGAAAGACGTACTCAACAGGCAAGCGAATGGAAAGGTCCCCAAAAGCGACAACACCCAGGCGACGACTATCGGACATCATGTTGTCTTAGAAGTATATTCTCCCGTACAAACGGAAAAACACGCAACAATGCCGGTCTAACGTCCACAAGAAGCGGACGTATCAACAACAGCGAACTGTATTCCTCTCGCACAAACGGAGGATAATACGCAACAATGCCGGTCTAACGTCCACAAGAAGCGGACGTATCAACAACAGCGAAATATATTCTCCCGTACTAACGGAAAAGTACGCAACAATGCCGGTCTAACGTCCACAAGAAGCGGACGTATCAACAACAGCGAACTGTATTCCTCTCGCACAAACTGAGGATACGCAACAATGCCGGTCTAACGTCCACAAGAAGCGGACGTATCAACAACAGCGAACTGTATTCCTCTCGCACAAACGGAGGATACGCAACAGTGCCGGTCTAATGTCCACAAGAAGCGGACGTATCAACAACAACAGCGAACTGTATTCCTCTCGTTCCAACGGAGGATACGCAACAATGCCGGTCTAACGTGCACAAGAAGCGGAAGCGGACGTATCAACAGCAGCGAACTGTATTCCTCTCGCACAAACGGAGGATACGCAAAAATGCTGGTCTAACGCCTTCAAAAAGCGGACGTATCAACAACAGCGAAATGAACAAACTCTCAAGAGTCAGATTCTTCGAGAAGCTCGTCGTCCAATCGGACTCGAGCGCCGCGAAGCTGACCGTCGCTTCGACGCGGGAGCGCTTCTCACCCTGCTTGCTCTGCGTGCCCTTTGCTTCTTCTGATACTTCGCAAGCAAGCCTTTCGTCTTGTTCCTTGTATGTAGCGCGGATTAGGTCCTTGCGCTTGGCGCGCGCGCAGGTGTAGTGGACTACCTGCCCGAGCGGGGCACTACCCAGCAGGAAATCCTCTTTATGGATTACGGGACCGTCGGGGGCGGTGCACACGGGCGAAATGCAGTCCTTTCCCACCTTTTACAAACGATCGGGCAACGAAAAATCGGAGGGGGGGAGGGTAATCAGACGAAAGGAGGACCACACTGAAACACAAATAAATGGCAGAAGGGCAGTGGGTTATGCTTTCCGAAAAAAGTGGCTGTGTGGCGTGATAGGAGCACTTCGTTGATTAACAGCAGCAGTTTGTCGTGTGGTTCCTTAAACAAAAAACTTGCGCATGTAGCTTAATTTTGTAGCGCAGATGCGGAGAGGAAAGGAGAACAAAAACAGGAAGGTAAAGAACATATTTCAGAAGTAGTATTTGGAAAAAAAAATAAAATACATCACACACAATCAATCAGAAGCACTGCTGTCTTTTGCGCGTACAGTAAACAAACATGTCATACACTAAACAGTAAACAGGAGTAGTACTATTTACAAACGTATCCATCTAATGTCTGTTTGCGCTAGCCAAAAAGGTGAAGAAAATCCAAGCATGAATCGGTGCTCACGTCTCTACTGAGGGCCGCCTTGGACGCGACGGCAGAGACCTCCGTCCCAGGGGCCTAGTCCATCAAACAATTCCGGTGATGGACGTTGTGGTACGCTGTTGATCCACGGAAGAAAGAGAGCGGGGACAGGCAGCAGGAACAAAAAGCATTTGCACGATCTATGGTTTAGTGGCAATGTGGTATGCCTATCATTTAATTACCCAAAAGAGACAATGCCATGGTGACACCACAACATCCCCTGTAGTTCTCTACTGGGTCAACGACAAAATATCGGGGAGAATCCCTCCCTTGTGTCGTGTAATGTAAAATGTAACCTTCACAGGGGACACGGCCCAATGTCTATTGACAGCTTGCTGGTTTGTTAATCATATTAGGAATAATATCGTAAAAAATATGCAAGATGGAACGAAGTCTACATACTACAGCAGTATTGTACATATTGAAATTCACGGACAGCAGGTGTTTCCCGCCGTTTTTTTTTATTTACAAAAACGTGTTTGATCCTTTGTGCATTTTATAGTATAGTAGTGCCCTGGCAAGCTGCTGACAGAGGGCAGAACACACCAGCTGAAACGTAGAACATGCTGGAATGGATGCAGCGCTGGCATGCTGCCGATGGAGGTCAGAACACACCAGCTGAAATATGCTGGCTTGGAATACATGCAGCACAGTTCTGGCCGAA